TTAAAATTGTGTTTGCATATTTCTTTTTAATGTTTCTGATGGTAGATACATCCTGTTTTTAGCTACCGTTTTGAAACCTCCTCCCTAACCTCCCTTCCGGAGTTTGCGAACGTTTTTTCAGATTCCAAACATGACTCATTTTACACGGACAGTAATGTCTATGTGCGATCCCAATACCCTGCAAAGAGTTCAGCCAATGACGACGATACTTGACGTCCATTGGTGAAACTTTCGTCGTCAGTGACTGCTGCTAGTTCATCTGATTAACGTCCCATTCATTCATACACAGCAAGAACTCATTCAACGCCATTCAATCCAAAACATATGATAAGGATCCTAGTAAGCATCCTAGTAAGGATCCTAGTAACGAACCTATTAAGCATCCTAATAAAGATCCTATTAAGCATCCTAGTAAGGATCCTCGTAAGCATTCTAGTAAAGATCCTAGTAAGCATCCTAGTAAGGATCCTAATAATGATCCTGGTACGCATTCTAGTAAGGATCCTCGTAAGCATTCTAGTAAGGATCTTAGTAAGGATCCTATTAAGAATCCTAGTAAACATCCTAATAATGATCCGAGTACGCATCCTAGTAAGGATCCTCGTAAGTATTCTAGTAAGGATCCTAGTAAGGATCCTAGTCAGCATCCTAGTAAGGATCCTAATAAGGATCCTAGTACGCATCCTAGTAAGGATCCTCGTAAGCATTCTAGTAAAAATCCTATTAAGCATCCTAGTAAGGATCCTAATAATGATCCGAGTACGCATCCTAGTAAGGATCCTCGTAAGCATTCTAGTAAGGATCCTAGTAAGTATCCAATTAAGCATCCTAGTAAGGATCCTAATAATGATCCGAGTACGCATCCTAGTAAGGATCCTCGTAAGCATTCTAGTAAGGATCCTAGTAAGGGTCCTATTAAATATCCTAGTAAGGATCCTATTAAGCATCCTAGTAAACATCCTAGTAAGGATCCTAATAATGATCCGAGTACGCATCCTAGTAAGGATCCTCGTAAGCATTCTAGTAAGCATCTTATTAAGCATCCTAGTAAAGATCCTATTAAGCATAATAGTAAGGATCCTAGTATTGCGGACCCGGCAGCGTGCAGTGCTGGTTTATTACGAAGTGGCCTTGTGCCAGACACCGCACTAAACTACCGAGTCCACAAGCAATGTATAAAAAAAATATAAAAATGTGTGAATGAACAGTGAGAGGAAAGGGGTCAATGAACGAGTGCATAAATTAATAAACATCAAAGAGATAGCCGGAATAAAATGACAAAGACGTCTGTTTGTAAAACATGTGTAACTTTAATTAGATGCAAACAAGTAGATTATCTCGTGGTACGAGATCAAGGAAAAGTTCCGCGCCTAAATAGAAATGCAAGATGAACTAGGCGGGAAAAAGAGTTTTATAAGGTTCTGGAAAAAGGAAACTCGTTAAACACGAGGTGTATGTGCACACAGATAGAAAGGAGTACTCACTGCGGATTTTTTTTTTGGCGTTGTAAGTGTGTGTGGTATTTTTGTGTTCAGGTTCATAGTTAGAAAGAATGTTCGGTCGTCTCAGAGTTTTTGGTGAGGCATTGAATTGACTGCTGGAAATTTTTCTGGGTTGCTGTGGGCATCTAGCCAGGAGAAACGAAGAATGTTTGAAGCGAGTTTCATGGTCTTGTGGAGTTGTTTACGGCGAGCCCAGAGAGACGAAAAATGTTTGTTCGTAAGTAAGAATATCCCTGTCTGTATTTACTTGTTCACTGACGAGGGATAAGTTCTGCTTGCGACTGTGTCGTGTCTCGAACGATGTGTCTCAAACGTTTTCTGGTCGAAAACGGAGAAGAGTCTGACCTGCGTGTAGCTTCAAGACGAGAAGAAGTCTTGGTAAAGTTGTTTGTCTGTAGGATATCCCTGTCTGTATTTACGATTGGTTCACTGACGAGGGATACGTTCTGCTTGCGACTGTGTCGCGTCTCGAACGATGTGTCTCAAACGTTTTCTGGTCGAAAACGGAGCAACTGGTTGACCTGCGGGTAACGTCAAGATGAGAAGAAATCTTGGTAAATAAGTGTGGGGTCAACATCGTTGAGATAGATATTCCGGCCCGCATATGGGTTAAGGGCACGCAATAAATGAGTTGCCCGTCTAGTCAGGTTGAAGATCGGGAAGCAACTGGCCTGCAAACGCTGGCCGTTTGAGACGCCGCGAAACTCGCGGGAAAAAATTCAAAATCTGTTAGTCTGACTTCATCAGTAGAAGCTAGCGAAGTTCTTCCTCCAGGTTGCTGCTACGTCTAGCTGTGAGAGGAAGGAAGGGGTGCAAACCGCGTGCACACACGCACGAGTGTGAAAGGAAGGGAGGAAACTCGCGCGCGCGTAAAATATAGATGGAATTAATGTGTTAATTCCATACTAGTAAGCATTCTCGTAAGCATCCTAGCATAACACCCGTGACATACAAATATATAGATTTTTTTAATGTGAAATATAAAAATTATGTCATGA